TAATAGAAAAATTTAAGTTTATGTATAAAGCAATAAATGTATTATTTTTAAATAGCATAATAATAAATTTTAGAGTAAAATAGATTATGGATGAGAAAAAATAAATTGGAATAAATTTGATAAATGCAGAAATAATTAAAATTTGATTTCATGAATTGTTATGAATTGTCGCCCCTCAATATCCCCACTATCCACACGTTTGTTAGGCGTCCGCGACCGTTGTCACGCACGCTTTCTTCTCCAACATTCGGCGAAAGGACTGTTGGGACATTGATGACTCATTAGGCGATATACATTGTTGCCGAGTGTCGCCACAAACTCAACCTAAATTTATCTCATTGACGTTAATCGTCTTTAACATAAATAAAAATCTGTAAATCCGTGGGTTATAGATTGGATTGGATTAATATCCTAATATTAGGCATGACTTAATTTTTCATTCATACGATTTTGTAAACGTATCGCGAATTCGATTACTACTTATTTGTATTATTATTATTTGTATGTTTAAAGAAAAATATGAATTTTTATCAGTACTTTGCGACTACAAAATTCTGAGTTAAGTGCCGTCCGGTTTCTGACAATCCGCTTAGCAAAAAGCATCACTGCCTTTCCCACACAGTGGCCAGATCCTTTAAACAATATCCCTGCGCTCTATTCTTTATTCTTTGACAATGCAATGTCGGATCGCTTGCCATTGATTTATTTGTCTATCAACTTATCCTTCGTCAAACTGTTTTACATATCTCCCGAAACAGTCTTGCCATCGATACCTCATAGTTCAGTTACGCCTAGCATCGGCTGTCCAAATATTAGCTCAAGCACCCTACCGAGGTTCTTACAGAGTCTTCGGTCCAGTCAGAAATTATCGTAAGACTAAATAGCGGCGGGCTATCTGTATTTGTAACGGTGAGAAGGTGCATTGTCGCTATCAAGTATGTACATGGCGAACAGACAGGTGAGACATAGTGCAACATTTCGTATAGCAATAGATTCGCCGAAAATTATTTCACGATAGCATTATTCCACTACTCTGACCCAACCCATAACCCATTTATTTTTCTTTCTATTTTACACAATATTAGAAATGGTTACCCTGACGCTGACACTAATTCACATGGATTGAACTTTGTCTGATAGGCGAGCGGTTGAGATTTCGATATACCTTTTGCATTATTTGATCGGAATTTTGACATATCGCGTGCAACGTTATATCACAGATGAAGTATTTTTGTAAAATATTTTAAAAGGACTATTTTGCAGGTACAAGAAATGAGGAACGAGTGTCTAAATTACGGAATAAAAATAAATTTCAAGATGAAGTTTCAATAGACGTCTCTTTTCCTTGCAGCGTAACAGGTAGTTAACCAAATTTATGATTATTGTTATCAAATACTTCATGGTATCACTTGTAAATATTACATCGTCGTATTTATTCCTTAAAATCATTATTCATTTTAAATCGCAGATTTCTTTTATTTCCAATAATTTTTACAATTTATCCTAGAGACAATCGGTAAATTTCTGTGGCAGCAAACTACAGTGAAGAACGCTGTTCTTCACAATTTGTAGTGGCTACAAGAATTTCAATGTGATTTTGAGTTCATTCATAGTCTTGTCCTATTAATATCATTTTTTAAGATAGATATGTAACATTACAAGCTCTTCACCCTACTGTAATTTAAGAATATTAAAATTGATGCTTATTTTTTGAAGTTCATATGTATTCTAATGTCTTTACTTTAATTTGTTTAGCCGGCAGGTCTTCGAAAGTTCCCGAGTCGGTTCACCATTTAAGACCAGGAGACATAGATGTCATTGCTGCAATGGGCGATTCTTTGACAATCGGCGCCGGAGTTACTTCGTTTACTATAGCGGAAGCGAACATTGAAGATAGAGGCATATCAGGCAGTATCGGCGGTCAAGGAACTTGGCGACAGTACCTGACTCTCCCTAATATTCTTAAAGTTTGTTCATTTCTTACATCTGCATTGTTTACGCATACCACAAATGCGAATACTGAAATCTTTCATAGTCCGATCTTCCTATACGCAGGAATTCAATCCTAAATTAGTAGGTTATTCACTTGGGGACGCTATAAGCACTAATCCAGCTGCGCAGTTAAACGTCGCTGAAGGCGGAGCTATGTCTAATGATATAACTTTCATGGCGACATATCTGGTCAATAAAATAAAACATGACCCGAAAGTAGATATAAACAAACATTGGAAGGTTCGTATGTTGGTAGACAAAGTAATTATATACAATACATATTTACTATATGGGAAGTGGTGTTTTCATATGCATATGATCATTGAAATTAACAACCGATTAATAGATTATAAATTAACATAAAATCTAAATTATTAGCAACATTATTTCTTGCGTTACTAAATATAATCTACTATTATTAGCAATGTTACATTTACCATTTATATTCAAATATTAAAATAGAAATTACTCAAGGCCTTTATATATTCATTACTAAGGAAGAAAGGTCATAATGAAATTATTGACATTATAATTAGAAAAGTATTTCTATGCAGTTCTGGTGAGCTATTTTTAAGAGTTAATTACATTACCTTTCTTTTACTAGACACGTACTTCAAATGTAATTAAAAATTATAACTGCAATTAAAAAAGATTAGATACCAGTATGAAATTGGACAACTTTTTCTTTCTTTAGTTAAAGATTATAATTGCATTTAATATTTAATTGTTTACGCAATAGTATCTACATTTTTATGTTTTACAGTTGATTTCGTTGATGATTGGAAGTAATGATTTTTGCTCTAATACGTGTGTAACTTCTCCATGGACTGTGTTAAATGATCACAAAATGGATTTAATTAATACTCTTAGAATATTAAGAGACAACTTACCAAGAACTTTTGTTGCTCTTATACCACCACCTCACTTAAAGGAACTGGTTAATGCACACAAAGGAAGAGAGTCATTGCGGTGCTATGTGTCATCCATATTTGGATGCCCATGTTTGTTTGCTTTACAATTTAGAAATCAAAGATTGGAATATTATAAAATAATAGAGAGGTTTGTATAATTTACTGAATTTATGAAGCATTGTAGATATTTTGTATTTACATATGCAATTTATAAGGATTTTGTTATATCATACTTTATATTTAATCTTAGTAATTATACATAAAAGGGGCTACTATTCCCATTTTAATGAAGCTTAAGTATGTTGTGAAACTCGACATTTTTCCTATAAGGAGTAAACTCACTTAGTTTCTGAAATATTTAGAGAAAGCTGCTGCTACTACTATGTTGAATTTGACTTCTAAGGCAACGTTTGCGTCTGCATGGTGTGTCCACTCATCTACTGTTGTGTGTTACTGTTGTGTGTCTATAAACACATCGCTGCGACCTGCAAATAATCTCTATAACGGGCGAACTGTTTAATACTTATCCTACCTAACTACTATTCTAACTACCTCGAAAACGTAAAAAAACATTTTGAACGCACAGGTCTTACATATATCAGCGGTTGTCAAAAACTATACAAAGCCGAACCCTATTCTAGAAAAGTATCAATACTGAGCAATCCAGTCGTCGCACCGTGAGGAGGCTGACTGCCATCAGACTTTAACGACGGCCTAATTGAAAGACTGATCTACATCCAATACGGATTACGCTCTTGAACACGCATTTAGTTTTGCAACCTTCAACAAGTGATTCATGTACACATTTTTGAGCAAATACGAATTGGTCAACCATTTTTTGCTAGAACGCACAGTTTTTGAAAAACTCAATTTTGAGAAAAAATGTAAGAAAAATTCAAATTCGCAACTTCGCGAACGTTTTGTTTTTTTACATTAGTAGCCATCGAGATGTGTTTTGGACAAAAAATACTGTGGCTCTCTTGAATAAAATGATATGTACTGTTATTGTATTATAGACATTTAAATATGTGTAGATAATGATTAAAGCGAGAAGAACGCTTAAAACGCGTCATTTTTTTGCTTAGATTTTCCAACTTATTTAAAAAATTAAAGGTCTACAAGAGAACCTAACAATAGCACGCGATAGAACAAACATTTTTGCTAAGGACAGCAATAAAGTCAGAAAATAATGTTTTGTTTTTAATGTAAATGCGAAGAAGTTTGGCAAAACACGCGGTGACGGCAATGGTACTCAGTGTTACCGAGTGTCTCACCTGTCACTCAGTATAATGGAACCGCAGAACGCGTGAGGCTATTAGCCGTCGACATTGACTAGCATTGCCTTCGTCCCGTATTTTGTCAAACCTTTTCTGTCAAACTTTTTCGCTTTTCCAGGAGTTCATCCGTTATACAGATCGTTTCACACCAGCTATGATGTGTTTATAGAAACAGTGGATAAGCCATCGCACCACGCTGACGCATACGTTGCCATGGACGTGCATGTATAGATAAGATTCAATGTAGTATTAGCAGCGGATTTTTGCAAATATCTCGGAAACTAATGTCGGGTAATGGTGTAATGTTTATAGTATAATGTTGTTTTGAATGATGAGTTTTACATTATAGTTAAATATCATCAAAATCGGAGGTGCAGCCGCTTTTGTGCCCAATTACCGTAACTTTTATTTTATATTTAAGCGTATTTCATTCTCGTTATATGTTGGTGAATAACTTTATTGAAAAGAGTTATTAGAGAACGGTATAGATTGATCATCTTTGAATTCAATTCACATTAAGATCTTATTGACGACTTGGGCAATGTCGGGGTCGATTTTGGATGAAAAAACACTGATAAGTATATTCATAAATTTATATTATGAGTGTGTATTCAGACGTCGAGTTCGTATTTCTATAACACATATGTGGTGATGTGATCGATGCGGTATCGATGTTATCGACAGCGATCTATGAATTTCAACCTGTTATCGATTAATATCAAAGGCAAAGGTATTAGTTATTGTTAGGTTTTTTATTGTTTAGGTATTGTTTGTAAGGTAAAGGTATTAGTTTCTGTACTTGAAACACCATAAACGTATCGATACTCGTCTGATACCGCAGGTAAGTTTCGGTACACATTCTTAAAGCTAAAATAAGATGAAAATCGAGAGCAAAAGAATTGCGCTTTGTTTTTTACACGAACGAATGTAGATCCGCAACTTACCTCATACAAGTCGTAGAGAAGAAGGTTATGTCATCCTTGTAATAAAATCATAGGTTAGACATCAAATCTGCTTACTCATTAAAATCCATAACAGCAACTCCAAAATCGTCTCATTAAATTTTCGAGTAGACAGAATGAGATACGCGCAGGACGCGCCTAGTGAGATCTCGTGGCCCGCGCGAGTTTGCCGATCGAGTTTACGCGTAGCAATAAACATGACAAGGTCCCCTCACTGATCAACCAGAAGCTTGGTGTTACGCAGAACCTCTAACATTTCGTTTCTCTTATCACAAAAATCGGCGAGACCCTTACTCGAATGACGCGTGAACACAAAAATTATCGGAAAATTATCGATATGATGTAAATACCCCAACTTTCATCCTTCTTTTTCTCCGTAAATGAATCATCGACAATGCTCCTTCAATGCGAAACAGTTTAAATTCACCTCTTGCCTTTACTAAATCAATATGGCATCTATCTCGATTAGGAATGCGGCATTTACCCTAATTATCTTGAAAAAGTGTTACACCTTTCCATTACCATACCGTGTATCGGAAATCGTTAATTTTGGCAGTGGATTATTCCACATAATCTGTATCTTTATTACGAAGCCAAAATCTGATATACAGATACTGAAAAAATGCGAAATCTTGGTAACTAGCAAAGGAATTTTACTTCTGTCTCAGCGCGGAGCGACATTTCGCACCGCAATCAGCTTATGTTTATTATTTCACATTTATGCGATATTATTTCCCTAACACATTTCAAGTACCGTTTGATATCTATTTTAAAATGCATATGAAGAATATGCAAATTTGTTTCATTTTTTAGGTGGCAAGAGATTGACGAAGAAGTCGCTAATTATCCAGAATTTCATAGAAATGACTTCACCGTAGTAATTTTACCGACTCTGGAACATGCAAAATTACCTCTTGCCGAGGATGGATTTTCCGATTTGTCATATCTCAATGTTGATTGCTTTCATTGGAGTCAAAAATTAAATGCACTATGTGAGTATAACAAATGAAACTATAGAATTATTTAATGAGTGTTACGTTGATAATCAGAAATGCTTTGTGTTTCCCAAGATGCGAATAATCTGTGGAACAATTTGCTGGAACCAGTTGGTAACAAGAGTAGGTCTCTTACTCCGTTATTTGAAAAATTTCTGTGTCCTACTTCGGAAAGACCGTTCTTGATGACATATGAAAATTCACAGAACAACGAAACTTAAGGATGGTTAGAGAAATTTTGAACAATTTCTGTAAGTGGAAGATGTATTATAGCCTTGTCATTCAGTTAAAGGAACGAGCAATTTGTGTGTATCAATACAGTATATTTCTGTATAACGAATGAAAGGAAAGTTGCTTTTTTACATTTCTTCCTTCTTGTACGTAGTTCCTTAGAATTATATTTTCTGTATGACATAGTTTTACAGTCGCAGCAAGATTCTAAGCTTTGCGATTGCTTTTGTACCATCCAGACTATTTACTCCAATTTTAAATAATATTAAATAAAACGAACACATTATTTTTAAATAGATTTTTTAAAAGAAGCGTAACACGCTATAGTGATACATCTAATGTTGCTTTATACTTCTTAGATGAATCTACATACAGTCACGTTCTAAGTACAGTAATGTAAATCTTGTGTTCGCGATTCAAGTAGCATAAATTTTCATATTGTCCGTTAATTTTTTGTATGGCTCTAGTTCTGCTCCTATGGGTCTCTTCCGCACATCTTTTTTTTTTTATTTAATTCTTTTCCTGAGAATAATTCTTAATTCTTTAATTCTTTTCTCCGTGTGCTTTTCCTGAGGGGTGTTTGGTATCATAGTACCAGGGGTGTAGTATGGTATTTTTATGTAGCTTTTTGGAGTGAAGTGTGTTTCTGAAACAAGTAATATGTCTATATTGTTGTTATACAGGAATGTTTTAGTTTCTAGGGCCCGTTGTTGTAGGCCGTTTAAGTTCCAGGCTGCTATTTTCATCCTGTCCGTGTTTCATTTTTGCTTAGCATGTCTTTAAGATGTTGTAACATGACTTTGTTTTGTTCGCTTATCATTTTTGTTAGCATTTCGGTGTTTTTGATGGATTGTTTCAGCAGTTCCTTGATTTCTGTAGTGTCGTTGTTGTTATTGTTCTGATTTTGGTTGTCTAAGGGTGGCGATTGGTTGACTACTTGCGCGTAGCTTCGGCTACCAACGGTGTTGGTGTTACTGTGGTTATTGTTCATTACGTGCTGTAGATTTGTTGTTATCTTAGTTTCTGTGCTATCCTGTTGCGCTTGAAAGTTGTTGTGCGTCCTGTTTCGAAACGGCGGAAACAGCTTACGTTGCAATTGTTTTCTGACTACACAGCCCTTGTAGCTAGCTGGGAGCTTTCCATTGCAGTTGTAGCATTTTACTTTATGTCAGATATTATCGAGATAACGTATGTTTTCTTTTCAATCTTTTCTAAATTAAGCTTCTATCAACGTATTTGTAAAATCTTTTTGATTAAAATGAGACTAAACATGGTGCAATACGAATTATATTGATTTACCAATATGCATTTAATAACATTCAGCATAAGCAAATATGCTACGAATTGTATCATGCTTTTTGCCATTTTAATCGGAAACATCTAACAAACAGTTGGTAAAAGTTCTATTCATTGGGTATTAAAAATAAGAGAATTTGATTTTTCAGCTGAAAAAGGTCTCAGCTTATTACGCAGCTTCATATTTTATACGTCGCCGAATACTTTGACTCTCAGTCCCTGTTTCTCTTTCCTTTTCAATCGCATTATTCTTTTCTATGTTCGCCACATGTAACACTTCATTGTCACTAGCTTTAGGAATAGAATCGTTTCTACTTCTAGTTTACTATCTAATTGCGGAATTTAGATCACGAATTTCAGTCAAGAATCATCAAGACATTGGACGAGGCAATACTAATGAAACAGAGAAATCTTCTTACTGTTTAGAATTTTTTGAAATTAAATTTTCACTAACGTACTTGTGAAATTTTGATGATCAAAATAAGACCAAATACAGCGATATGCTACTGTTAAGTCCGGTGACTCTTTGCGTAACACGGAATCCATTCCTCGGTCGATGCGGTTCTATCAACGTATTTGTAAAATCTTTTTGATTAAAATGAGACTAAACATGGTGCAATACGAATTATATTGATTTACCAATATGACCGATCCGCCACACATTTAATAACATTCAGCATAAGCAAATATGCTACGAATTGTATCATGCTTTTTGCCATTTTAATCGGAAACATCTAACAAACAGTTGGTAAAAGTTCTATTCATTGGGTATTAAAAATAAGAGAATTTGATTTTTCAGCTGAAAAAGGTCTCAGCTTATTACGCAGCTTCATATTTTATACGTCGCCGAATACTTTGACTCTCAGTCCCTGTTTCTCTTTCCTTTTCAATCGCATTATTCTTTTCTATGTTCGCCACATGTAACACTTCATTGTCACTAGCTTTAGGAATAGAATCGTTTCTACTTCTAGTTTACTATCTAATTGCGGAATTTAGATCACGAATTTCAGTCAAGAATCATCAAGAAATTGGACGAGGCAATACTAATGAAACAGAGAAATCTTCTTACTGTTTAGAATTTTTTGAAATTAAATTTTCACTAACGTACTTGTGAAATTTTGATGATCAAAATAAGACCAAATACAGCGATATGCTACTGTTAAGTCCGGTGACTCTTTGCGTAACACGGAATCCATTCCTCGGTCGATGCGGTCACTAGCTGTGCAAATATAATTAGTCGGACCGCAATAATCATAAGGAACTGTCATAAATCTAAGCTTTTCGATTTTACGCTTAAGCCCGTTAATTGGTATAAAACACCTTCAAATCAAGAGGTTCCTCATGGTTATTGCTCCATGAGGAAAAAAGTAGGGAAACGGGGCTTTCCCATTTTTCCCGAGATTTTCACCCATAAGCGACCAGTGGTGGGGCGACCAACACCTAACAAGAGTTTTCCTTTGCGACAGCATCGTCACCGAACTTCACTGGTTTATCATCTACAGATCGATCAACACATCAGCACTGGTTTCTCATCGTTAGATCAGTCAACATCTCAGCACAGGTTTTGCATCCTTAAATCAGTCATCGGTTTAACTTATATCTATACGCACCGAGCGTCGCTGTCTATGTCTACAAGTTGTTGGAATAAAGTGTAAATTGTAACCTGTTACCTCAGTGTTATAATAAATTCAACCACCTCTATCATCCTGACCGAAATAGAGGATCGATCATTTCGTGGCATCGATTCCATAATCGAAACGGGAATTTACGATTCCCGTTGGCGCGCTTCCTCGCGATCGCGTCTCTTCGCGAATGGTCGAACAAAGTGAGATGTATCTGAACACGGTTACTCAGTTAAAGCAACAATTACATGAAATACGGTATGTATGCATTACAGCATGAAATACGGTTTGTATGCACTACAGCCAATGCGTGGTCTAATAGAAGAAGGAGTTTCCTCGGTGTCATTTCACGTTGCTTAGGTTGAATTGCATTCGAGCGGCAGCCAGCAACTTTGGCATGTATGAAGTTCAAAGGCGTACACAGTTTTAATAAGATTGCTGATATTCTTCGTCAAATTCACTTAGAATTCGATTAAAGTTCTGAGGTGATATTGGGTATAGCGCGTTAAATAATCACTTGGTGTTTAGATCAACAATATATTTATTAACAAGTGTCTTCTTTTGATCGCGTCGCGTATCGCTCTCGGTTTCGCTACTCAGTCTCGCTGCGTGGTTACAACGCGACCTTTTCACTTCCTGGTTCGGACCTAATCGTCGATCGGATTCTATTCTTTTCTTTTTGTCGCCCCTCAATATCCCCACTATCCACACGTTTGTTAGGCGTTCGCGACCGTTGCCGCGCGTTCTTCTCGCACATTCGGCGGAAGGACCGCTAGGATATAGATGGCTCATTAGGCACTTTGCTTCAGCGGTATACAATGTTGCCAAGTGTTGCCACTGTTCTAGTAGAATACAGACAGTAATTATAGACAATGCTGGTAGCTCCGTAAATGCATTTCGTTTGTTTAGCATATCGTTTAGCATTGGTGCAAATACTTTTCAATGTGATAAATACATTGAGAGATTATAGGCAACATCTGCATCAGGAATCATGAAGATGGAAATTATCTAACTGATGTTGAAGACGATGCATCTTTTACCTTGGATATCAGACCGTGTTTATCACAACATTTTAGACATGCACACACTTTAAGTCTATGTACTACAATTGATTGCGTGACGGTAATGTGTGAAAAATGTGATTAACAATTTAATTAACAACAACGTTATGTCCAAATGCAATGCATTACGGAAATGTACCGCACGTCCTAAGTTTGCCGAAATTATGCAAAATACATAAAGTTATACTTTGAACAAAACGGGAATAGCAAGATGGAATTTCCTATGCAATCTCGTTGCAAACACCACTAGTAAAAGTTTTAGATATCATCCAGAGAGAAAAAGGGCCACATTATGGCATTGCGCTTTCGGTTTTATGTTTAGAAAAAGGTTAGAAACATTAATAAAAGGTAATACAAGTTCTGTACGCCATTAGTTAAAGGATTATTGAAGAGTTTCTATACAAGATTGGTATCACGCGTCCTGCAGCTCGAGATCGGCGAGAGGTTGGCCCCGGAAGCGTTGGTGGAGGCCATGCTCAGAGGGCGTCGGGAGTTCGCCGCCGTTCGCACTTTCTGCGAGCAGGTGATGCTTGCGAAGGAGCGGGCGGAAAGAAACAGGGTGAGAACGCGGCATCCTTCGAGGACGACGCAACAACAACATCGGAGGAACACCACGCGCCACAGAGGCGCGACGCCGCCACCGACGCCGCCGCGGTCACCGTAGGAGCGTGATGAACCAGGAAGAGACGTTAAGGGGTGTGGTCCCCCCCTAACGGCCCAAGGAAGCCTCCCTTCAATAACGACAGGGAGATAGACGCCCGGGGGTAACCGGTAGTAATTCGGGAGAGATCCCGGGTGCATCTCGACTCAGGTGTCAGGACAGACCACCGTGGAGTTTTAGTCGGTAAGAGTCCGACACTACCCGCTAGCGGGTGTCCATGAGGATTTCTTCACGTTAAAGAAAAAAAAAAAAAAGTATAATACAGACAGTAATTATAGACAATGCCGGTAGCTCCGTAAATGCATTTCGTTTGTTTAGCATATCGTTTAGCATTGGTATAGATACTTTTCAATGTGATAAATACATT